AGGGGGAAAACCTTCAATAGGCCCCTTGGGCCCGGTACCCAAGGGAGTGTCGGATTTTTACCGACTAAAAACCCACCTGGTGCAAACATTCACTCGCTGGATAGAAGAAGCGGATCGGTGATATAAATCACAATTCAAACACACTTACTCTCCCATCCCGATGAGCCTGGCTGGTTCGCCATACTCTCATCCTCATTCACACACATCACTCATACCTTATAAAACTAACTAACTATTGCGCCTTAACGGTCTACCGGAGGCGCAACTTATTCTACTTATGTATGTATATATGTACATACCCGACCATCCATCCCAAGATGCACTGGTCGGGTTCACACATCCCATGCATCCGCATGCTTATTCGTCTTAGGGGAAGCGACGCACTAGACCAGGCCAGGCGCCGCCAAAACTGCCCGGAGCCACGCCCGGGAGGGCCGCCTAGGAGCTAATCTCCTTTGCGGCCTCGCATTCACTCTTCTCCTAGTGAGAAATACCCATTCTCTCTCTCTTTCAGCGTCTTCCTTGGCCTTCTTTACAAGTCCTGAAAAGGACTGGAATGCAGCTCACGCCCCCGGGGTATCCAGGGACAGCCCGACTATCCCGAAGAGGGTGGGCTGCACCCCCCCCCCAACTCCCTGACCAAGGAATCCCTAGCATTCGTCCACGCCGGGCATTCAATCAGGGTGTGTTCCGCGTCGTCTCCATCCGCGCCGCAGTGATAGCACCGCGGGGAGTCTGTCCTCCTAATACCATGTAGGTACGCGGGAAAACAGCCATGGCCAGTCATCAGCTGAGTGGTGTGGAAGGTCGTTTCCAAAGAAAACGGCCTTCCAACCCACTCCTCCAACCTGGAAGCGATGGCTGCTCTCACGCGCACCCCCGTCGTCCCGGTCGTACCTACTAGACCCAATTCCTCCTCCTTCCATGCTGCAATTGCCCTCCTCTTGGCAATGGCACCCAGCACGGCCCTCGTGCTAGGGGAAACGGGATCCTCCGCTTCCCTGACCGCTGCGTAGACATCCGCCAGCTGCGGTGCCAGATGGTCGAGGGGAATGATCCCCGCGACCATCATTGCCGCATGGAAGGAAACCGTCCTATAGGCGCAACACACCCTGATCGCCACCTTTCTCTGCAAGGCCCGAACAGCCCGCCTGACTCTCTGATCCTCCACAACAGCGCGCCACCACACCGGAGCACCATAGAGGAGCACGGAGTGGATCACGCTGCTATAGAGACGCCGCTTCTTCTCCCTCGGCCCGTGGAGGTTCGGAAGGATCCTCCCAATAGACCGAAGGATCCCTTCCACTTTCGAGATTAAGGCCTCGAAGTGGGGCCTAAACGACATGTTTGAGTCTAAAACTATGCCCCGGTATTTCACACTGGGCTTCACTGCAATACAAACCCCCCTGAATCTAATCACAGGGAGGGGGGGAGCAATCCTGCGTCTGCAGAAGGCAGAGGCAGGGAAGGCCATTGCCTCCGTTTTCTGCGGCGCCACTTTTAGACCCAATCCCTCAATTTCACTCACAAGGACCTCCAGGTCCCGTTCAGCCGCTAACAACGCACAAGATAGGTCCCGCCCTGCTGAAAGGAGGGCCGTGTCGTCTGCGTAGCAAACCACACGAGACCCCCCTGGCAGCGGGACTCGGAGGACCCGATCATAAGCGATGTTCCAAAGTGTGGGGCCGAGGACGGAACCCTGTGGGACCCCACACGTCACACTTATATTATTAACGAGGCCCTGCCTTCCAATGAAGGACAAGAGCCGGTCCCGTAAATAGTCCTTAATAATATTAATTAGGTAGGTGGGGAAGCCACTTCCCTCCATCGACGCTATCACCATCTCCCAGGGGTGCGAGTTGAACGCGTTACTGATGTCCAACGAAATCAGCACGCCCACCCGTCCACTACTCGCGCACTCCTGTATGTAATCCTTCACCTCCCTGATGGCTCCGAGGGTAGAATAACCCACCCTAAAACCATGTTGACGCGGAGAAAGTACACTTCCGGTTTCTAAAAACTCGCTCACCCTGGAGACAACAACTCTCTCGAAGAGCTTCCCCACCTCGTCCAGAAGGCATATTGGCCTGTATGAGCTGGGCGTGTTATCATCACAATCGTACCTCTTTTTTATCAGCACGAGCTTGGCCCTCTTCCATGCCCGTGGGAACACTCCCCTCCTCAGCAGCATGGTGAAGCACTCTGCCAGGCCTCGACCACAGTGCATTGCCGCCCTCTTCACCACCAGGCCAGGGATCCCGTCAGGACCCGGTGCCCTCCCGAGGCCAATCCTCTGAGCAGCCCTGCGTACCTCTTCGGCGGTGACGACTAACTCGTCCGGATCTCCCACGTTGACATTTGGGGCAACTAATCGCCCGCCCCCCGGAAACAACGTCACCACAATCCGCACTAAAAGAGGAGGATCCAGTGCCTCAGTCAGGGGGGGACACCGCGAGCTCTCAATTTGCTCATTATGAGCTTATAAGGTCTCCCCCAGGGATCTTCCTCGATGGTAGCTAGGAAGTCACTCCAGGCCGAAGCCTTGGCCCTTCTGATGGCACGGACCAGATTCCTCCTCTTCTCCCTCCTGTCCTCTAGGCACGCCACAATCCTGGCCGGATCACCACCTCGCCTGGCCCTCAGGTAGCGCCTCCTCGCCGCCGTAGCCGCCCCCCGTAGAACCGCAATTTCCCGCGACCACCAAGGCACCACACGACTCCTGTCCACCGCTGTTCTCACCCTCGACATAGACATGTCGCATGAACTGAGGAGAGTACTGTTCACCCACTTAATTAAGTCCCGCACATTGGCACCATCGTCCCGTGTCCACTCACCGGAGACGAGGGCTGCGGTGAGCCTATCCTCGTCCACAGCCCTCGTGTCCCACTTAGGGAAGATTCTGTCCCTGGAGCGAAGGCTTCGAAAGCCTGTAGCCTTGTGCCTGTACTTAAATATAACGTACAAATGGTCCGAAAGGGACTCAGCCTCATCCACCCTCCAATCCGATAAGCGGACACTAGCTGCTGGAGATCTCCACACAAGGTCTACAACGCTCGACCCTTGCGGTCGAACGCACGTGGGGTGGCCAGCCTGGTTACCCACGCTTAGGTTCAACCTATTGGCCCACATACAGAGCAACTCGCCCCTTAGGTTGCTTCTGCCTTCCGGATCCCATCTAGGGAACCGGGCATCAAAGTCCCCAGCAACAAGCGCTGGAAGAGCGGGAAATATGCCTAAGAGCTCTTCGAGCTCATCAAGGAGTCTACCAAAAATATTTAAATTCTCGCTGGGAGGAAAGTAGACTGAAACTACCAGCGAGTCCCCCCATTTGACGGCTACAAAAAACAAACCCCGACGCACCAGGCTACAGGTTCTTTCGCCTTTGCCCGCAACAATCGCAGAGAGGGGCGACCCCCCCAGGGATGAGAACCATTTCTCATCCCCGGGAGGGACCCACCACGGCTCCGAGACTATCGTAATACCCGCCCCAGTCTCCCTCATCCGCTGGCCCAACAAGTCCTGGGCGCGGCGTGCATGGTTCAGGTTGGCCTGCTCGACCTCCATGTCGTCGCCGTCACTCGAACCCGCACTATGCACAACACTGCCAGTTTGTGCAACCATCTTTTCGCCCGCACTTCCCGGAACGTTATTCACGCACCCTGACGTGTCCCGTCTGCCCGCGACTCCCCCCAATATAATGTCTCTCCCCCTAATAGGAGGCACCAACGGACACTCCCAGGATCCAGCCCTGTGCGAGGTTCGGGAGCGCCCCGCCTCCACACAGATCGGGCATTTCGGCTTGCCCCCGCAGTCTTTTGCCACGTGCCCCGGCTCTCCGCACTTGAAACAAACGCCCATCCTAGCACCCGGTGCAGGACAAGAGGCAGCCACGTGGCCTCTCGCCAGACACCTGTGGCACCTTAGGGGCCTGAGTCTAACCGGGAACACCCGGACCCTGCTCCACCCCACGAGGATACTGCCCCTATCGATGGCAGCCTGGCACAGTGCCGTTGGGGCCACGACTGTGGCCTCATAAAGACCACCCCTGCCCAGACGAATGTTCCCCATGTTGATTATTAGGTTAGGGTCGAATCCCGCCCTAACCTCCTGTAGCCCACACCTGACCGCCGTCAGGGTGGTAGTCGGATAGATTCCAACCAGTCTGATGGGGCTAGTCTTTTGAGACCTTGCAATTTTGGCCTCCGGTAGGGCTCCCTTCAGGGCCTGCGCAACCTTATCGGCCTTAACATTGGCGTCCTTTCTTCGAACCTGCCAAATAAATGACCCCGTCAGGCCACGCCTGTATGAAATCCCCTTTGCCCCTATTTCCTCCAAGTTCACACACGTTTCTGATTTCTTTAGGGCTTCCAAATATGAAGCCCCTTCCGCGCACGTGAGAGATACCGCTGCGGTCTCCCTGATTCTTCTATTCTTCCTCTTCTTCTTCTTCTTTTTCTTCTTCTGCTCTCCCGCAGCAGGGCCCCCCCTCCCCACGCGAGGACAAACAGGAGGGCCAACCCTCCCGACATCCGCCCGTGTAGGCAAGGGCCCCCCAGCGGGCGCAGCAGTCCTACTCCTCCTCCTTACCTCCACGAACCCATCCCTGTCCGGGACAGTGGCCAGAGGCGTCGGCGTCGGCGGTGGGGAAGCAACCCGCGATCGGGCTGCAACCTGGGCATAAAAGCCCTGTCCCCCCTTTATTTCGTTCAGCTCCTGCTGAATCTTGATCATAGATTTAGAGAGCTCAGTGAGTACTCTCGCCATCGTCTTGCCGTCAGGATCATCCTCTTTCCTAGCAGCAACTAGTCTCTCCTCTGCGAAAGACCGGGCCTGATTTACTGCAACTGTTGCTGCCCTAGTTGGGGCATTCACGGTGTTGACTTCCTTTTTCGACACTTTTTCGAGGAGTACATCCTTACGCCTCAGCTCCCGATTAAGGTGCGTACACTCCTCCTCCACGTGTTTTAGCCGGTTATTTGTGGCTTTTGCTTCCGCTCTTAATTGTTCAAGTGACTCGTATATATCAGAGCCGCAGTTTGCCCTGTTGCGGGCCTGCAGCTCCCTGGCCATCTCTATTATCTCCAAATAGCAGTTTTTTATTTTGCCGGAGATCTCTCCTTTAATATTGCCGCAGGTCTTCCTTCTGACTTCGGCCTCAGCGATATTGTCTAATATGAGGTCAATCAGCCTTCCAGTCTCCAGACTGGAGACCGATGTTCCCTCCGGTATGACCCCATCAATACTTGTGAGGTCAATCACCTCGTCCTCCGATGATGAGGTGTATGTGATTGGTCTTGCTCTCTTGTGGGTCCTGACTGGTATAGAGTCGGACTCCAGGTATTCAATGCACCTTACCGTGCACTTCGGCCCCTCCTCCAAGGAGCGCCCTCGACTTCCTGTAGCAGCAGTCGATCCACAAGCCAGGTTGCCTACCTGCGAACAACTTCCCGAGGCATTATCCAGAGTCTGGGCCGGGTCGCCTACCCTAGACTCATGACAGTAGCAGGCTGTCGACGATGGGTGGCCTGTCCTACCACCACCAAGCACCGCCGTTGTGTGGGTTTCCCTCCCACACGGGTTATTCTCTGACCTTGTACCTTCCATTATTTTTTATTAAAAAGTAGGCACAAGCCCAGAGGAAAAGAAAGGAAACGAAAGAAGTGAGAGACAAGAAAAGAATAGAAAAAGAGGGGATAGAAAGAATTACAGAGAGGAATAGCCACACAGAACATGCACACACCATTCACACCCTCCCTTTTAGTCGCCTCTTACGACAAGCAGGGAATACTGTGGAAGTATTCTACTACCCCCTACCCACGGGGGGGACCCTGACGCAACCCTGACACTACTTTTAACTGTATTAAAAAAAAAAATTATTCCAGCACCCATACTTAGTAAATATGTAGGTATTACAAACAATAACAAGTCTAAAAGTATTAGTTAATATTAGGAAAGAGTAGGCTTATTTCGCACAGATTTTCACTTTATCTTTGTGAACAATTCTGTTCCTATTCTTGTAACTAATCTTTACATTATTTTTAGGAAGCACTTCCAGAATTTGGTGTGGGCCGGTGTATTGGTTTCCTAATTTAGATGTTGGTTGCTTTAAAAGATAAACGCTCTGACCAACAACGAGRTTTTGACCACGATCATAGTAAACTTTGGATCTTATTTTTGCTCCAACCAAATTCTGTCTTGTCACTACTTGCGAACAACGTATCTTATGAACTAGATCCAGATAATATTTAAGATATTTGTTATCGAGGTCTTCATTCGTATGTTCGTTTTCGGAGGGGATATTAGCTTTTTTACCGAAGATTAGCTCATGAGGAG